TTTCCTTTTTCTCCCTCAACCTTCTTTTCCTTATTCTCTCTCTCTCTCTCTTTCTCTTTTCGCTACTTCACACCCCGTCCACCACCATCAGCATTTGGATAGAAAAGCTATAATTTTTGAATCTATTTATATCTGTCCGACCCACAGAATAACGATTCCAGTGCCTCTCACCGTGTATTGACCTCATTTTAAATTTATCAATTTTTATCTTCATTTCTCAAAAAAAAAAAACAGTATTCTGTACTTCAACTTTAATCATCAATTTTCTAGGAAATAGATTTATATTCTTCCTTGACGACAAAATTAATGATGGTAATTTAAAAAAAATATTTTTTGGTTTATATATTTTTGCAAATTTTGGAAAAAAAATTGTGGGGATGATGGTTTAGCAACGAAGATATGGTAAAAGAAAGGTTATAGAGTGGATTTCTCTTTCCGTGCGGATTGAAGAGGAATGAGAATAGAGAGACCGCGTGTTTTCATCCATCACACGGTGGTCCGATCGGCAAGAAATACACACACACATATATACAACAGTACCAACAATCTCAGAATGCATTACCATGTTAGAGAGAGAATGCATACATTTCTCTATCTTCGGACATCGACTTCATGCGTATATTTACTATATCAGTATAAAAGATCGTATATCTAATTTTCACTTTGTTCCACGAATTAGAGGTTCAACGACTCATTCAATTTAATATGCATACATAAACAATCAACACAAATTTCATCTCATTAAATTCTCGGTATTTAAATTAATTATTTTTTTTTTTAAATAAATTGAACAGTAAATGATTCAATTTTTTTTTTTTTTAAATAATAATTTAGAACTTCTGGTCTTTCAATAGTCGAAAATTTCCGAAAAAGAAGAAATCTATATAAATTCTGATTATGCATGACGTTTAAATCCGCAAGAGATTGTAGGAAATCAAGGACGATGTAGAAAATGTAGACACATGGAACGGGAACAACTTCATTCCGTAGGTGGTGCACACAGTGCAAAGTGCTCGATGTAGGGGCGGATCCAAGCGTACCCCAGCGACCTCGGGCCATAAATAAATGCTCGCGCGAGGCTTATGTACCTACATACAAAAACCTATGCTTCTCCTATATATATATAAGAGGTAACCCGCGTGAATGCGGTAACTAGAAGGAACGTAGTGGACTATCAAAACGGACACTTTTACAAGAGGAACGACGAGAACCTAAACAATAAATATATATAGGTGGTTGAGGATATAAAAAATTCAAGGGAAAATCCTTTAGGCATTTTCAATTTTCTAATTCTTATATAAGACATCTAAATGCGAAGATTGTGATTTAGTTACAGGTGACAGCGGTGGGATTAGAATGGAAAAGGATTTAAGGATGATGAATTGCAACTCAGTTTCTTATTTTCAATTTTCTATAATTATTGTAAAACGTCATCGATGCGAATAACAAACTTATACAGGTGACAGCGGTGGGATTCTTTTAGAGATGGAAAAAATGTATTGAATACAACAATTTGTAAATAGAAACAATTAGTTTTACCCCTAATTTTTAGCTTTATAATTTTTACAAAGCATCAAAATGACAAGATTGCGATTCACAAAGGTGGCAGCGGTGGGATTAAATTAGAACGAAATAAATTTACTTCTTACGGTGTTACCTTAGATGGTTGCATTAAATTACAATTAGAAATATAGTTTCAACAATTTAAAATTTTTAAATTCTTATGAAATACCAAAATCTGAAATATTAATAGATTGCGATTCAATTATACAGATGGCAGCGTTGGAAATCATTGTAATCTTAAGATTTTGTATTTCCTTTTACAGGTGACAGCAGTGGGATTAAATTATAAAACGAAATTTTACATTAAATTGCAATTAGAAACAATTTCGCTCATTTTCAATCTTTTTAATTCCTACAAAATATCAATCAGAATAACAATAAATTGGAATTTGTTTATACAGGTGGCAGCGGTGGGAATTATCGTAATCGTAATCTTAAGATTGAATTTCCTTTTATAAATATGACAGCGGTGGGATTAAATTAAAACAAAATTTTACTCCTTATGTGGATTAAATTGCAATTAAAAAACAGGTTCATCCATTTTCAATATTTTTAATTCTTATAAAATATCAATTTGAATAACAATAGATTGGGATTTAATTCTTACAAAATATTAATCTGAATAACAATAGATTGCGGAATTCGTTTAAACAGGTGGCAGCGGTGGGAATTATCGAATAGTCTTAAGATTATACGATTCATTTACATAGGTGACAGCGGTGGGATTGAATTAAAACAAAATTCTTCTTATATAATCGGTAATTTTAATTGTAATTAAAAACAGTTTCAATATTTTAATTCTCAAAATTCATCGATTCAAATACAAAGATTGCGATTATTATACCAAAAGGTGATTATATTTTAGGGAGACGAAACAAATTTATTTCTGGATAATTAACATCCACATCAAATTGCAATTAGAAACAATTAGTTTCACTCCTCATTTTCTAAATATATATATAGTCTCTCCTGGTTTTGCTAAATATAGTTTTCCCATCTCGGCAAAAGTATTTTTAATAAATTAAAATTATCTTTATATATGGAAATATAAGTGTTATTCGCATTGTCAGTGGCCTTAAAATGCGAATGAATCGATATTTCCATTTATGTTTTTGTGAACCTTATAGTATATATATATACATATACTTGTGTATCAAACTGAGGCACATATAGTCGCAGCTGACTGTATTGTTGCGTTGAAGGTAAGTCATTAATTTTCCTGCACTGGGAACAATTCTCGTGTGCGTGTTTTCTATCTATATATATACACACATCACAATTTATATATATATATTCACTCACTCAACTGGTATGGTGCCTACTGTCAATTGACAATTTTACTCTCTTATCACATATATCATAATTTTTTTTAAATCTTATAAAACATTAATTGTTAATAAAATTGTTACATTAATAAAATTAATAGTATATATTTTTGATATATCTAGATCTCCCAATTGAAAATGTATTAAATTTTTTAGAAGGCCATGCTGCGGAACTTGGTAAATAAGATTAAATCTGTCCATATATACGATGTATACATTTTAATATTATAGTATATGACGTAAGTGTATAGCGAATCGTTGATCCCACACGTAATTTTATTTATTTACATGTGTATATATGTGTGATATTATATCATAGTATTCGCGCACTGTTGCGCACGTGACTCGCGCCTATATATACTATATATTTTCTTCCGAGAGATCAGAACGATTACTCGATCCTGGAATTATATATATGTTCATTGCCATTGGTCTTTGCGCAGCAATTACATTTTTCCTCCCCCTAAAGAAGAACAATAATTTCTTTTCGATTTAGAAAAAAATGGATAGTAAAAAAATTTTTAGGTTATGTTTGTGATTTTTACACTTTCTGTGTCGTTTGGATTATATTTTAAACGGTAACAAAAATGTGTCAAGTAGAGGGCGCTACTTTCTATGTCTTTTGGATTATTTTGAACAGTAAAAAAATGTGTCGAGTAGATGGCGCCACTTCTATAAATCGTTTGGCGCACTTTGGACTGCAGCAAAAATTGTATCAAGTAGGTGGCGCCACTTTCTATGTCATTTAGCTCATTTTGAACTGTAACAAAATTGTGTGTCAAGTAGAGGGCGCCACGTTCTATATCGTTTAGATATGATTTTTGCAACAAAAATGACTCCAGGTTTTTTTTCTAGCATACAGTTTATGATTTCAATTCAAAATGAATTGAACAAAGAATTCTTTTTTTTTTTTTAAATCAAACTTCAATGTCACGGATCGAGGGTAAATATAAGTGAGGCAACAATAAAAGAACATAAGGGGATATATCTATATATAATAATTATTATTATTTGGCGCGATGTTTCGGTACTTGTATTGCATTGAAAAAAACCGCGAAGTTTTCTAGGCATTCATGTTATTGTCGTATATAGCATGTGATCGTAAATTTTATCCAGGACATTCCACCTTGGGGGGTTGTCGGTCGAATAAGGGGCTGCATATAGTCAAAGAGAGAGAGAAAGAGAAGCAAAAGGATCAAGAATCCCCCGTTGAGTCCTGCTGCAGCAACAGGCGGCCCACTTCCCTCTTACATATGGTGTGTTTAGGATCATCCCATTTGCGGTGGGTGGTTACTATATTTAAATTTATAATCTTTCACTCTCTCCTATATCGTATCTCACTCTGATAAAAATTAATCTCCATTTAATTAAAACTAATTTTTAAATCAAAAAAATTTCTTTATTTCAAAAAAAAATTAATTTTAATAAAAAAATAAATAGAATTTTCGAAAATTAATTCTAATATTAGAAAAGGAAAATAATTTTTTTTTGTTTTGAAATTATTTATACAGAAACGAGGGGAAAAAAAAATCAAGATGACAAGTAATTAAAAATAAGTTAAGAGAAAATTGTTTTGAAATTAATGTGATAAAAGAATATAGTAATAAAATATGCGATATGCCTATATTTCCCTTTCGTGAGTATGTAATGATTCTAAAATGCCATGCCACCTGTATATATCCATTTAGCTCGAACAAATAATCTGTTTAATATCCTATAACATAGTTGCGATAATAAATATACGTCAAAAGAAGTGTGAGATTCATCAACTATGCTATTTTTTTACTCGAGAGAGAGAGAGAGAGAGAGAGAGAGAGAGAGAGAGAGAGAGAGAGAGAGAGAGAGACACAGGAGGCATCAGTTTTATTTCAATGAATCACGAATGGAAAAACAGTTATATTCATTTGTTTATAAATTAGAAAGTGATTAGAAAATCATTTATACTTTAAAAATTCAAATATTTTTTGTAAATTATTATTTTAATACCAAAATGATATAAAAAAAATATTTTTTAATAATTTATTATCATTTAAAAAAAAAATACGCTATTTATTTATTTTGAATAATAAATTATCTTTTTTTTTCAATGTCAAAATATACTGTATTTTTCAGATTGGATATTATATGGCAATGCGAACCACCTAACACGGACAAAATTAATGAACAATTAAGATAAGGATCAGTAAGTAAAATTTGCGTTTATGAAAAAAAAAAAGAAAAAAAAACAGTCTCCGCTGCAAAAACCAGTTTCCAGAACATTGACCCTGTAACCCTCATGGAAAGGGTATATAACAAACGGATTTATATCTTCGTGAATTAGGTTCACGAGAGCTACCCTTACGTCATCTCGATTCTTGTGGTCTTTAATATTTATGGCGGAACGATCAGGCTGTAATTATGCCTCCTCGGCGAAAGCCACCTCCTTATTTTTCTCCCTCTCCATTACCCCCTTTGCCTTCTCCTCTCTAACCCCCCCCCCCTTCCCCCTTACTATCAAGAAATCGGTTATCCTATTTATTAGTGTATATTAGCTGTCGATTCATCGGCGGAAATAATTGCGTAATTATTTCATTCATGGTATCAAGAGAGAGAGAAAGAGAGTGCACAAAAATGAGGTCCAAGAGATTTATAACGATTATCATTACCTTTTTCAATGTTCATCGTCATTTTAGCCTCAATTTGTTACCTTGAATATAGCTGCTGGTTTACTCGCAGTATTTTTTTTTTTTTGCAGAAAAAAATTATTTTTATATCAGAAAAATTGAGTTATTTTCTTGGATTTTATTTTTAATTGAGGACTTTAAATTGCTTATTTCTGTTTGATATATATATAAGAAATAATTATCATAATTTGAAACTACTCACACGATGAAAAAAAAAGATTATTTTTATTTACACAATCGAATATTTGAGTATTGTCAAAAAAATATTTCTTTTTTATTAAATTAAATAATCAAATAAATAATTATAATAGTTCAATTCGTATTTGTTACAAAACAAAAATTGTTCTTTAAAATTTGAAAATAATTTTTTATGAATTTTATTTTTAATGAGGGAATTTAAATTGCTTATTTTGTTTGTTTTGGTATATAAGAAATAATTAACATAATTTGAAATTAAAAACATTTTTCATCGCAGGTGCAGTTAATTTTATTTTTTCCTAAATTTTTGTTGGTTATTTCCATTTTTGTTGGTTATTTCCATTTTTATTGCTATATTATTTGCTCGCTCATTTTTTTTGTGGGGGGTAAAAATATATTTTTACAATACTGAAAAATTGAATTATTTTCTTCATGAAATATATATATATTATAGGGATTTTATTATTAATATGGGAATTTTAATTGCAGATTATCAAAAAAATTTTTTGCAAAAAAATCTACTTTGCCCTATTAAAAATTTTATTTAGAATTAATATGAAAAATTTAACAAAAATTTTTACAGTAGGGACAGCGAATTTTTTTTTTTGGTAAAATATATGTGAATTTGAAAGTAAATCTATTTTTATCATAAGAATAGAAATAGGAATCTATTTGAGAAGATATTTTTAATTTGATGTCTAAAAAGTTTGTTTTTACTCTTCTTATAAACGTTTACACATTAAATTTTTTTTTCTTTTCAAAAAACACTAAAGGTATGTACATATATATATTGACGTAACCACATATTATATAGTATAGGCTTATTTGATAAATCAATTGGTCCAGAGGCTAAAAACCGGATGTGTTTATTTTTCCTTGTAGGGAGTTTAATTTTACTTTATATATACATACGAATAGTGATTATTTTGCTTGTCTCAGAGTGTGCGTATATAACATTCGATCGTCATACCGAACATTCTTTACACAAATTTTAAAACGAATTTTTAAAGACTCTATTTTCACACTTTTATAATATTTTGAGGAATGGAATTTATGAACTCGTTTCTACGAAAATCAGTTTAAATATTTCTAGTAATGCCACTTATTGTGGTAGTAATTACGATACCGTTTTTTAAATACTTTTTTTTAATTTAATCTCTTGAGCGTCATGGCGTTGCACGTGACGGCGACAGAAGCGTCAAAAATGGCGTTCCTTTTTGAAATCAATTTGTAATGTCTATAAACATATTTTACTAACCAAAACTCCCGAGTAACAAAATTTGAATGGATTGCATTGTTTTTTTGAAGTGCAAAAATGATATTTGTGAATAAATGTTAGAACACACGCCATTTTCAAAAAAAGTACTGAAATTTTGAACCATTTTTTGAAGGGGAATAAAATATGTATTGATTAAAATTTTTTTTAACATTTCACAAATTTTTTTAACCACTAGAAAAATGTTTTGGTCATCATCATAGATATATGGTAAGGCAATTATTGTAAGAGGCTGTTTGAAAATTCTCAGCTTTGGAATATAAAGCAGATGAAAAGGTAAATGTGTAAGGGGGGGTGAGGGCTATTTGAAAAGGATGGCACATTAACCTTGCAGGAATAAGAAACGAAACGAAGGAGGCCAGAAGAAAGACCTTTTGCTTTTGGTGTATACACATATATATATAAGCTAGAATCAAACTGCGGCTATAAGGTCGAGAACTAAAGTTGAGAAGAGTCGAGCAAAGGAAGCCCCCCCGCCTTACAATGCGGTCTGATTTATAGCCTGGCGCACATACATAGAGTTACACACGATATCATAATACCATTAATTCTTCGTCAAATTCCCCGCTGACTGAATCATACTTGCCGCACAGTAAATCACAAGGCGACTAATGTGAACGCGACCAACGCTCAGGCTGCTGTGCTGTCTTATCTTCTTCTGAAACCGCGGGGGCAGGTGGATTCGTTCCCTCTGCCTTTTTATTTTCTCTCCTCTCCAACCTATCAACTGTCTATTCGTGTTTCCGTATTTTCGTTTCTCTGTGTATCGTGTGTATATCTTCATCGTGAAAATGCGCAATTCATTTTATAATACAAATTCAGTCGCAGAAAAAAAAATTGCGATTTTATATACACCAAACTGTTTACACGATAAAAAAAAGGTTTTTTTTATTTACACAATCGATTACTTGACTATATTGTCAAATATTTATTTTTATTAAATTAAATAAATAATTAGTTAATAATTAGTATAGTTCAATTCGTATTTGTTAGAATTATCAGAAATTGTTGTTTGAAATTCGAAAATAATTTTTTAGCTATCAAAATTATTTGATTAAATTAAAAATATTTATTTTGACAATAGTGCTTTTTGTAGCCATTTTCAGAGTGGTTGGTATTACTAAATTCCCTAAAGTTACTATATATATATAGGGACTTTTATTGAATTCTGACACAAGTTGACAACACTGTTTTGCTTTTGACAGAAGTTTAGTTGGGTCACTTCTATTTTGTATGTTAAATTGACATGAGTTTAGTTCGGTAATTTACAGCTGTTGCATTATAATTTTTATAGTGAATTAATTTATCCTTCAGTGGCCATACAACTAGTGAAAGAAGTCTTTTAAAGAAATTTAATTTTCATTTTAAATAATAAATATATATAGATAAAAATTGTTTGATCATCATAATTAACTTAATACTATGTATTGGATTTGATAATTCACTATGAATTCAGTAGCAGAAGAAAAACTGATATAATACCGCCAAACTACTCACACGATAAAAAAAAGGGTTTTTTTTATTAACACAATCGAATACTTGACTATTGTCAAATAAATATTTATTTTTTATTAAATTAAATAATCAAATAAATAATTAGCAGTTAAATTTACAAATCAAAAATTGTTGTTTGAAATTAGAAAATAATTTTTTATTAAAGTAAAAAAAATATTTCGTTCAATTATAAATATTTATTTTGACAATAGTACCATTTGTAGCCACTTTCAGAGTGGTTGATATTACTAAATTCCCATAAAGTTACTATATATAGGAACTTTTATTAAATTCTGACAAAAGTTAGCAACACTGTTCACTTGCGCTTTTGACAAAAGTTCAGTTGATTCACTTCTATTTTGTAGATTAAGTTTAGTTTAGTAATTTGTAGCTGTCGCATTATAATTTTTATAGTAAATAAATTTATTTAAGTAGCCACAACTGGCATTTCTAAATTTTGTTCTCCAAAATGCTCTGTCGTCGTCGTTAGGTATATATTTCGTTATGCAACACTTTTGACGAATTTAGAAAACAAACAATTTCTGAATTTCAAAAAAAAATAACTCACTAAGAACTTAACACCACTTTGTAATTTATATTCAAAAACAGTCGTTATGTAAATTTATCGTCAACAAATGTATCAAGCTACCTATTCAATTATAAATTTTTGCCATTTTTTTTTCTCTTAAAAGAGTCGTGTTCATTACACTCAAAAGTTACTGAAAAAAAATTTTTTTCCTGCTAATTTATTTTGAACTTGCCTCCTAATATATATAGATATACTTATAACCCAAAAATTAAATATGTATAGAAGTATGCAAATTTTTTTTTTTTTTTTTTTTTGCACTTTGATTCGATTAAAAGGCATGAAATGTAAATTTTTTGTTTTTGGTGAAAAGTTAAACAGAATTATAAGAAAAAAAAATGAAAGAAGGAAGGAAAAAAATTAAAGCGTGTAAGATTCTTGAAAGGTCCGAGTCCGTTTTTCTTTAATGGCGCGCGGGCACTTGAAACGAATTTATCCTTGCCACGGAAAAAAATACCGCGGGATGCGCTCTTATACATGGAACATGTGCGCTTTTGCGACTTCCTTTTCTTTGTCGACCACACATGGATAGAAAGACAAGGCTTCTTCTTTCTTTTTTTTTTTTCTTCAAGAAACTTTTTGAACTGTATTATGTCGTCGCGCATAGAAATACAAAAATGCAATTGAGTTTTAAGAAAAGTTGACCGTAATTTCAGGGCATCTGTTTTTATAAGTCACGGATCATTTCATAATTTTTTTTTTTTTGATAGAGGGCTAAAATTTACAAAATATGCATATTTTCTTTGCGAATTTTCTAATCTAATTAAATAATGAGAGATTTTAATTATTTAATGATATTTAATAAATTTATAATTTAAAAATGAGAATTTTTACGCACTAATTGTTAAAAATCAAATTCAAGAAAATTTTTTGTAAATAACAAATTACACGAAATAAAATAAATGTTTGCTGATAAAAATTTGCTGAAAATATTTTTGCTAAAGATGGCAAAAATTGAGCTAAATCCTTAAAATTTCAGCAGATTTTACAGTTTTTAAATTTTGAAAATTTCAACAGATTTACAAATTTTTAATCTAAAATTTCTACATTCTGCGTTAATTTAAATTAGTAAATATTTTCAGATAATTAAAATTAGTAACTGCGATTTTTTATTATGAATTATTAGAATTTTACTCATTATATATAGTAGAGAATTTTTGTTTTCACTAATTTAATTACTAAATACTTAATTAACTTATTCACTAATAATTCACTATAATCCCGAGTTTTTGCTAATAAATTAATTAAATTTCACTTATTAATTTTTTTACTAATTCGTTGGTAAATATTTAACTAAATTTTTTGAAAAAAACTGTGATTTTTTGGTATGAATTAGTTAAATTTTACATATTAATTCGTAGAACACTTTTTTTCACTAATTTGTTGGTAAATATTTAACTAATTTAAAAAAAATCTGCAATATTTTTTGCTATTGATTTACTTAAATTTTCCTTATTTAATTAGTACAGAATTTTTGTTTTTGCTAATTTTTTAGTAAACACTTAACTATAATTCATTCACTAATAATTGGGATTTTTTTTTTTTGCTACAAAATTAGTTAAAATTTAACTTATTATTTAGTAAAAAAATTTGTTTATTTCACTAATTCATTATTAGTATAAAATTCTTAACTAATTAATAAAGCAAATTGTCAGTTCCTAATTCAAATTAGTTAAATTTTTTTTTACTAATTTAGTATTAGAACGTATTTTAAAAGGTATAGTGAGTAAATTTAGAAATTAATTTTAAAAAATATCCAATTGTGTTTAGATTTTTTTTATTTTCATTTTGACAGGAATAAAATCTATTCTCCCTATATATATGTATATACTTAAGAGAATAATATTTTACACTTTGGCCAGAATTTGGTTCAGTGGAAACCAAATTTTTTTTTTGCGGATCCAATGAAAATGTATTTGATTCTCTTAATAAAATTTAAAAAATTTTAACTAATAAAAAATTTGTTTCCTTAAAAAGAAAACTTAAGTTTTTTAAATTTTAAATAAGAAAATTAAAATTTGATCAAAAAATCCCCCTCAAAAAAAAGGGAGTTAGACTTAACTTTTAATTTTGGACTCTATTTTGCGATCTAAATGATAGAAATTGTTGAATAGAATATGTTTAGTGATTTTTTAGGGTTCTGGATGTAAAAATATTGAAACTATGTTTTTTGTTGTTTAAACATTTCGATCCTTGGTTTGAATTCTCTTCAGTAAGTTATGATTTTCTATATAAACAAAGAACTTAATCTAATGTTAACTCACTTTTAGAGTTGATTTTTAACTCGAAAAATACTCCCAACTCCTGTTGCGGGTGTAAAATTAAATTATAACCCCTTAAAATTTGTATTAAGCGCACAAATGTTTTGTTGTACACTGTGAAAAAAAAGGAGTTGAATTTTCAACTCCCTAGGGGATGCTATAAAAGTCCCACCCTTTTGGAGTTGAAGCGAAAGAAATTAACTGATGATGCTTTACGGAGTTAATTTTTATGCCTAGGGAGTTAATTTAATTATTAACTCTCTTTTTGAGTGGATTTTTAACTCGAAAAATTTAGCTCCCAACTTTCAGTGCTCCCTAATTTTTTTTGAAATTATTCTCTTCAGCTTAATTTTTCTAAAATTAATCGAATAATTCGAAAATCGAATTGCATTTCAATAATTGCCGGCTTACAATTTTTTGGCAATTAAAATCAGTTGTGATAATTGCAATCAAAGTTTCGATAATTATCGATAAATATAGTATAGATTTTTCGCTATTTACGCCACAAAAATCTAATCTATGATTTAAAAAAGTAGTTTTTATCGATAATTTAGTCTATTAAGAGTAATAAATTAATTTTTCTGATATAAATCATGAGATGTGATTCTTATTTCAAAGAATTTAACTCCAATACAATTTTCTTTTTAATTTTCCGCCATTTGGAAATTATATATATACTTTGAGATGAAAAATTTTTACTCACTTTGACCAATGTGAACCCTCTTCATCCAGGGATAAATTTGAGGTGGATTTCCTCCACTTGTATTTGCTTTATTTGACGAATTGTTTCCAGTGCTCGATGTACTTGAAGTCGAACTTGCTGGCGATGATGCTGATGATGCTGTTGTTAATGTTGAACTACCTTCACCTAAACCACGTGAGCTACCACTTGGTGGCGATGATGCCGAGGCCGCTGCCGAAGACCTTGATGAACCACCCGGTGTTGATGTATGACCAGATGGTCCTTTACTGGTACCAGGTGTATTCATTGGTGTAGGACTATTTCTCGATGTTGATGTTGTTAAATCCTGTGGCGATGCAACACTCGTCGACGATGTTGAATCAGCGTATTTACAACTTGACGTTGATGACGCCACTGCGGCCGCTGATACCGCTTGTAATAATGGTGCCGTTGGATCAACATGAAGTTGACTATGATGATGTTGATTTTGTAATCCATGTTGTTGATTTGATGTAACGGAATTTAATCGTTGAGGTTGTAATTGAGTGTAGTCTATCATTCCCGTTGGTGCTGAATGTTGTATACCACCAGCAGGTGTTGCATAAGGATGTTGAGGATAATGTTGTGGGGAATAGCAAGGGGTGGGATAACTACTTGTCGCTGCATTTGGATTATAATAATCGGCACCGGCAGGCGATGATGCTTGTAGTGGTTCACCAGGTGAATTCGGCGTCGGCCGTGGCTGTTGTTGGGGTTGTTGATTCACATAGCATGAAGCTAATGAATTGACAAACTGATAGGAACTCATTTTTATTGATGATTTTTTCCACAAAAAAAAAAAAAAAACACAAATATATTTAGAAATCACAAGAAGTCCTTCGCAGGGAAGGCATCACTTTTACACTGATCCTCAATTCACTTGGGTGGATTTTTTTTTTTATTAATAAAACGATAATCGAAGGGGTCCTTTTTTGAGGATCTGACTAATAGAGAGAGAGGCAGAACCGGGTTTAGTTTACGAGCGCCACGTGGGCCGAGGGCTATAAAACTGTCTTCTGCTTCTTTATGATCTTATGGGGGCCCATCGTGCGGGCCTATTGGCGCGCTCCATTCAGAATTATGAAAAGATGGCGGGATTTATTTTTTGTTTCAATAGGGAAATTATTTTTTTTATAATCACGGTGCGTACACGTAGGAAGGTGATATCGTACTGAACCTCGCGATCCTTGGAAGACCGGTGCGGTAGCTGTCACGTGCCGCGCTGCGTGTCAGGAGCACCGACCAATCCCCGCCGTTCGTCAAACCTTGATTGGTCTCTCTTGCTGCCGCGGTGGATTCTTCAACCCCGTTCTCTTCAGCCGTCACAAGGGATGAGAGGGGTTGTGTGTGTGTTGAAGAGTGGGGATAGCTAATGGAGAAGTATTCCGTTTTTCGGGGGGGGGGAGAGGAGGGCTCTTTTTTTCTTCTTCTTCTTCTTTTAGCCGCTCTTTAAACGTCAGTCTTCCGCTATTTCTGATCGCGCACGCTTCTTCCCCACCATTTTTCAAAAATCATCGTCTTTTGGTATCATTTTCAAAAAAAACCTGGAAAAGGGACGCGCATAAGTCGTCGCGGCTGACAGTTTTATGAGAGTTTGATAGCCTCCTTTTCCTTTTGTGGAAGAAGACTAAAAAAAAAAAAGGGGGAGAACTACACCGCACACTCTTTATTGTCCCATAAATTCAAAACCTGTTGCCGAAGAGAGTTTTTCTGTTTAAAAAAAAAAAAATAAAAAATGGAGAATCCTTTGCCGGAGAACCCGGACACAACTCGTATAACTCACTGAACGACTGAACTCTCTGAGAGAGTCTTGGCGGCTCGCGCCAGAAGCATGTGTGACGTAGTAGCCAGTTGGTCAAGGGGGATGTGGCGGGGGAGGGGTGCGAAAGGAGAGGGATGTCGAGGCGGAGCTCAATCTTGGATGGTGTCTTCTAAATACAAGATTATCAATGCAAAGAGAATTTCCAATAGATATCAAAAAAAAAAAAAAAATTCATTTTCCAACTCAACCACCTGTTGAACCCTTTCTATAAATCATAGAGGCGCACTCTACATTAAAAAACCTATAATAATTCTTCGAATCACCCTTAAGGAAATATCTTTTTGAAAATTTTGAAATGATAGTGTTGCAGTTGCTCACCAGATGTGGTGAGAGTGTCCGTTGCTGGTGAATTGAGGCGCGCGCCCGCCTCCGGCATCCCCTTCCAATTTTCTTTCATATCCCACCACTGGTTCACAAGTTCCCCTTCCCCCAATGCTATTTCTCTCTGTGTGTGTGTGTCTGAACTGGCTATCTCTTCCACTTGAACAGACGTTTGTGTTTGTATATATTCCCAAAAGGTTCTCCCTAATCCCCACCATAAACATTTGACTACACGTATATCTTTGTCTTCTCTATTGCATTCTCCTCTAGGTAGCGAATCATTGAGCATCGTTATGTCTGTTGTAAATTTTTTGATGTTATGGGGATCACCACGTGCTTTTTGCTCATTGAGAATGACTTTTACGAGAGAGGCTTTTAACAAACACTTGACGAAAGATATATGTCATTAGCAGATTATTTGTAGAATGTCAACACGGCAATGCGAGAAGATGATGAGTGTTCGTTGATGTAGCTAAAATTGTAGCATATATATACATATGTGGATGTGAAATTTTTTTTTTTTTTTTTTAAACTAAATTGCATAAGCGGTTTTTAATTGTAGACAAGAAGAAAATTTTATTTTGCATCTTAATAATTATATTTCAAGAACAATAAGTAGATCGTTAAAAGTTTGGAAAATATTAGAAGATATTTTGCCAATTTTTTTACCTCGTGTAGAAATTTTAAACGGGCCCTGACAGGGCTAACGTATGCCTTAAATCCACGTGTAGAAATTTTGCTAGGGCCGGATCAGGTTCCCCTATTATAGAGAATGAAACGCCGCGCCTGACGTGATCCTGATAAGGAAATGCACATTTTCTAATCGCCCTGATTTGGCCCTGATCAGGTGTGGCGTTTCATTCCCTACTAAGGCCCTAATAGGGCAATTTCTTCACGGGTCAGCATAAAAAAAGGAAAACCGACAGGGGCCAAACTGGAAGTCCTATTTCGATTAAAATAAATTAAAAAACCTGGGCCTGGTGTGGCCCTGGTTGGGTTTCCCTATTTCGGCCAGGTTAGCGAATTTCCGTACAACAGGTAGGTATATTCATACCTATGCATAGATTCCCCAATCTGACCCTGACCTGGCTCAAATCGGAATAGGATGCCCTATTAGGGAATAAAACGCCGCGCCTGATGTGCGGCCCTGATTAGAAAATCCACATTTTCTGTTTGCCCTGATTTGGCCCTGATCAGGTGTGGCGTTACATTCCCTACTAGGGCCCTAGTAAGGCAATTTCTACACCAGTACAGGTGGGTAAATTCAAACCTGTGCATATATTCCCCAGTCTGGCCCTGACTTGGTTGAAATGAGGAAGCCACGCCAGGCCCCTGTCGGACCATTTATTTCAATTGGTTTGAAACAAGGCTTCTACGGTTTCCAAAAAATTAAAAAATTTATGTAGACTTAGGGCCAGCTTACGTGAGCCCTGTTGGGACCACACTAGGCCCTAGTCAGACACCAGTTGTAATTAAATTGAAATAGTATTCGATTTTAATATGACCTCTTTTGTGGTCCAAAGTTAAATTTCGTGTTTCTTGTGCATTTAGGCTACCTAATCTAAGCCTTTACAGTGCCACAATAGACCCCAGTCGGACGCTAATTTTAATAAAACTAAAATAGAGCTTATTCTGTGGCCACAAGCGGATTTAATGTTTTATGCGTATTTGCAGTTACTTTACGTTGGCCCTTTCAGAGCCACACTAAGCCCTAGTCGGGCCCCAGTTGTAATCGGTTTTAATCAGGCTGAAATAGGGCCCCATTTTTAATCGGGATGAAAGAGAACATCTTCTATGGAATTAACGGGGATTTATGGTTTTTTGCGGAATTGGTACTACCTGACAAGGGCCACGCCAGGCCCTAGTGAAGCCTCAATTTGGGTTATAATCCGGTAGAATAATGGGGTTCTCATGTGGATTTAGTGTCCCGTGGTAAAATTTTCCAAACTAGTTCTGATCTGACTAAAACAGGAAACGCAGCTGGGCCACGCCAGGCCCTGGTTGGGCCCCGGTTATAATATATTTTAATCGGACTGAAATAGAGCTTCTTCTGGAGCCCGAAACAAATTCAATGTTTTATGCGGATTTGCGGCTAACTTTCGTGTGCCCTACTGCTGGAGCCACACTAGGCCCTAGACGGGCCCCAGTTGTAATCGATTTAAATCACATTAAAATAGGGTTCGGTTTTAATTATTGCCGGACTTATAGGTCTTTCTCTATGACTCAAAGCGGATTTAGAGTACCTTGCGAATTTCGGGCTACCTGTCGTGGGCCACATCAGGCCCCAGTTAAGCCCCAGTTTGAATTGGATTTAAATTTTGGTCTATAGTTAGACTACTTTTTTACTTTCTTGCGGATTTAGTGTTTTATGCATATTTTAAGCTTCCCTACTTGGGCCATGTCAGAGCCACACTAGGCCCTAGTCGGGCCACAGTTGTAATAGATTCGAATCAGATTAAAATGGGGCACCGTGTTTAATCGCGCTAAAAGAGGGTTTTCTTTTGTAGAGTAAAAGCGGGGATTTAGGGTTTTTTGCGGATTTGGGGCTACCCGACTTGGGCCCTACCAGAGTCACACTTGGCTCTAAACTGGCTCTGGTTTAGGTATTATAATTCGTCAGAAATGGGCCTTCTTTTGTATATATATATAGTCTCAAGTGGATTTTGAGTCCGGTGCTAAAATTTTCCAACCTGGCTCTGACCTGGCTGAAACAGGAAACCTTATTAATGCCATTCTAGGCCCTAGTCGGGCCCCAGTTAGAATTTATTTTAATCGGACTAAATTAGGGCTTTTATCCGTGTCCTCGACCGGATTTAATAAGTTTCATGTGAATTTAGAATAAAGGAGAAAAGTGAAGAGAGACCATGGGAACTCAATGCAACTGTATATATATATATATATAGGCGCATAACTAATGGGTGGCATATTAGAAAATCAGGATATAAGAACATTTCACTGGTCTCTAATGTAATATATCCCTTTATATGGACAAGCAATGTACATCGGGTTTTCAGTCAACGCGTTTTTATATCTGTTTTCGCAATATATATATATATATATATATATATATATATGTTGCACACCATAGGTAATGCTGCATCAAAGAGAGAAGAAAGATTGTGTTCAAAGACTTGCCAGAAATCCGGTATCATGTCAATATAGTCATCACGTCACCACATCCATGACATGCAATTAAGTTCTTCGACTTCTATAAGAGAGAGAGAGAGAAAGGATATATATAAAGCGCAAGAAATCGAATGATTAGATGACGATTGCATCAAATACGGTCGTTGGCTTGCAATTCGAGTGTCACTCTCTTCTCTTCCATAGCAGAGAGCGGCTTCATCAGAATTTCTAATAAAGTCGTGTTGCAGGTGTAAAAAAAACCGCAAGCCAGAGACCTCCATGAATCACGTGTGTCGTAAAGCGAGCCGCTAGGACACGTGTACCTGCAACTTGTGTGTTTGTATTTATATATCCAAGAATGGGCTTGGTGCACTCATGACATCATAAATGCAAGAATTTTTTTTTTTTCTGAAAAATTTTTTTTTCAATAATCAAAATATATTTAAGTGAAAAAAAATTTATTGGGAAACATTTCATTGAAATGGAATATTTATGGGAAAAAAAAATTTCACCTGAAAAATTGAAATTATAATGAAACCAGGAAGTTTCACTGAAACCAAGGATAAATTTCCCTAAAGCAGGGAAAGTTTTCGTTATATTCTAGAGAAATGTATCGCTGTTTCAGATAAAAAAAAATTTTTCCGTGTTGCAGAAAACTTAGTTGTTATTAAACAAGCAGACAGGAGCAAATTTACTAAAAAGTTTGCAGAATTTCACAAAAAATTAAAAAAAAGAAATTCTATTTGTGTTAAATAAAATTTTTTATTCAAATAAATTTTATTTCTAAAATAGAAATTATTAATAAAAATAAAAATTTTATTAATATAAAATTGATTAAAATAATAAAAAATTTATTATATATGAGAAAGTTTTATTTGAACCAAATATAATATATTTGAATTAAATAAATGAACATTTATCTCACAACCTATTAGCCATATTTATTTGGCGTAAATAAAATTTTTTATTTAAATCAAATAAATTTTTTGTTTTTCACAATTTATGAGAAATTGGAGCTAAAAGTTAACAATGTGACAGTCGGATGCTGTGAAGGATGTACCATATATCTTTAGAATCATCGGTATATTGGACGCTAACGCTTCTAGTGGCGCTTACGTGAAGCTATTACTACCATATTTGGCGCCACTTTCTGCCGCTAAAAATTGACTCAAACGGTTATGCGAAGAAAAATTTAAAATCCATTAATTTCATGCAATCTTTTTTTTTAAATGAACAAAATTATTTTTAAAAAAACTATTAAATATATTTAGTTTTTTAATTTTATTAATTATGTAATTATGTAAATAAATAAATTATATTTACTAAGTTATTAATTATATTATTTATTTAATAATTATATTATTTTATTAAGATAACAATAATTTTTTACATTCAATATTTAGTAAAATACAAAAAAAAGTAATTTTAAATAATTATTTTGATTTCCTAAAGAAAAATTCTTTTTTGTATATAATATAGTAAGCAATAATTCTTCGCTTAAAAGACTACACAGCCAATGAAAGGTCAGTGACTAATGAGTGATTAATGATTCCGCGTTACTTATATGACACCTAGTAATTTACTTAATTCAACAAGAATAAAATATATACCATTAAATATATATATATATACAAATATTTTTAATACCTACTTTAAATAGTTTAAATGATTATTTATTTGTTATTTATTTCTCTATTAGAAAAAAAACATCAATTTTATTTAAATACACAAATATGGAAGAAATTTGAAATATTTTCAGATTATAATTTTTAATAATAATTAAATAATAATTAAATAATAATTATAAATTTTTAATTATTAGTAATTAATTAATAATTTCGTTTTAATTAAAAAACTGAATTCACCAATTTTTCTGAATGAAAAGAAACTAATTAAATAAGAGAAGTCAAAATTTACCTTCCTCCTTTTGTTAAGAATTTTTTTTTTTTGGTTATTTTTTTTATATATACTCGCATTTACATAGAATACTGAAAATTTGCATAGGCATTCAAATTATGCGGCTGTGAACTGCAAAAAAAGAAAAAAAAAAAAAAGTTTCAATTCAATTCAATTGCTAAGACGTGAAGCAGGAAAACCAATACGTCTCTGCGTGCCGGCCATGATGGATTACTGGAGCTATGGGAAACTATCTGTCAAGTACAATATCGACCCTCGCCCTCCTTGTCCAACCCCCTGCGAACTCAGAATTCGCTCCCTTTTTGCTACAGTTGCCATTTCTAAAATAAATGTTCGCAAACGTGAAAATTTACCTATATCCTCTTTTTGCAAAATAAATTTTAAATTTCAATTTTTTTTTTTTTTTATTTAATTGTTAATAGAAAAAAAAATTATTCTTAAATAATAGATGAAAGGAGCGTATAAAGGAATGTCAATTATGTAAAAATTATTTATTAGTAAATTTAAAAAAAAAAGTTAATTATTTTGATAAAAAAAGTTATTAATTTAGTAGAAATTTAATAAAATATTAGTTAAATATTTAGTAATATTTAAATAAAAATTAGTTAAATATTTAGTAATAATTTAAATAAAAATTAGTTAAATATTTAGTAATAATTTAAATAAAAATTAGTTAAATATTTAGTAATAATTTAATAAAAATTAAATATTTAGTAATAATTTTAATAAAAATTAATTTGTTATTTAGTAATGGTTTCTTAATTAATAAATTAATAATTAAATAATTCCTTTTTTTTATTATTATTACTAAAAAAAATTCTTTTATCAATTATTTATTATTTTTTTATTCAAGTTTTATAAATATAATTTATTACTTAGCATAAAATATAAATTTCATCTTACAATTATTACATATATATATATATATATATGTTTTAAATCAAGTGGAGACTAGTTTAATTTAACATTATTACAAAACTATAGATTTTACATCTCTCAATATCGACTAAATTATACATTCAATTTTCGCACTTATTAAAATAATATTGTACTATCAGTTGATTCATAAAACAGTCTTCGTTTTAGCAAAAATAAATTTACATTTCATCATTTTTAATATCTATCATTATTTTATTATCATTTTTTTTTCTATCTCATTGTATTTTATTACCATATTATTCTTTTTATCGTAAAATAATTATTTAAAAATTACCATTTTTTACATGTCTCTAAATATTACAAAAATATTTTTTTTATTTCAACATTATTTTTTCTTTCATTAAAGAATTTTTCGAAAAAATAGTAAGAATAACTTACAAAGCATATTATATAAGTAGAAATATATTCTAAAAGTTGATTTTCGAAAATATTTTTAATTATAATTTATTTTTATTTATACAATATTTTTTAAAAAGTGTATAAAATACATTTTACAAAAAGGAATGTTTTTTTTTTGTTTCTAGAAATTAGGAAAAAAAATAAATTAATTTCCCCAAAAACTAGATATTTTGGAAATTTTTTTTTTTTTTAATTTTCTTATAATTTTTATATAAATTCTTTATTTGGTAAAAATCACTTTCGTGATGGTAATATTAAATTTCCTATTTATCCTTCTACCGGAAGAACAATTTTTCGACAGCCTGTTAAATTATGTTCATTATAATATATTTTTACATTATTTTTTTTTATAAACATAAAATATTTGTAATAGAAAATATTTTTACGTTGTAAATTTATTTTTTATTTTTTAATAGCACACGTATATTTATTTTCTACTTATTCTTAGTTTCCTTCTTTGGATTTAAACTGTAACGAACGCACAAGCAGAGGAGAGAGAGAGAGAGAGAGATAGAGATACCTGTGGAATTCCGTGTCAGAAACTTTCACTTTTTTTTCGCCCTCTTAGAAACGAGAGTCGATATTTCAAAATTAGTAAATAAAATAAAATTAATTGCACATTAAAAAAAATATAATTCTTATAAGTACACAAAAGAATAGCAAAAAAAAAATTTTTTTTTACATTTATTGTTATATTGCAAATTACTATAACAAATATTTGTTACTTTCTGTTTTTTTAGGGTGAAAAAAAAAAATTTCTATTTTCTTCTTCTTTGAGATTAAAATTCACTGCACTCACATTAAAAAAAAAAAAACACACACACAATTTTTTTTTATAGAGAATGGAAATCTTTTTTTTTTTTTTTTTGAAAGAAAAAAAAACACTTTTTTTAATCGAAAATTAAGAAAATTTTTCAGGAACGCTATGATACACGCGCGTTATACTCGCGGCCATCTTGATTCAGTTTAAGAAGCGCAGCTGTGTGAATTTCCCCCACCTCATATCTTTTTATTTTCAACCCCCCAAAATTTCTCAGCTTCCAGTTACCCCACGTCTATTTTATTTCTATGTGCGTGAAATTTGAAAAACAATCATATATTAATATTATTTTAATTGATTATTATTTATAATTCAATCGTAATTTTCATTTTTTTTTTAAATTATTGTCTCTTGATTTTAGAATAAAATTTTTTTACTTTACTTGATAAAATTTTGTTTAAGTAAATAATTTTTTCTCTAAAATTAAAATTTTGCTTTCTATTGAAAAAATGTTGGTGCAAAAAAAAAAAATTTCTACATCCAGAAAAATGGTATATTTGTCTGAGGCCTAATAAATATTTATTTGATTTAAATAAAAAATTTTATTTGATTTAAATAAAAAATTTTATTTACGCCAAATAAATAGGCTATAGTTGGCTGTGAGACAAATATACGCGTTTACTTAATTCAAATATATTATATTTGGTTCAAATAAAACATTTCTTTGAATGTATATTCAATTAACTTCATACCTAATAAATATTTACCATGAGTTTTTATATGACTGAATATATATATATATATATATTTCTACACTCAGAGAAAAGGTATATGTATTTGTCTCCGAGCCTACTAACTCATTTATTTGTTGCAAATATATTTTATTTCATTGAAATAAAAAATTTATTTGAGCCAAAAAAAATTTTATTTCTGACAAAAAATTTTTTTATTTACACCAAATAAATAAGTTAGTAGGCTCTGAGACAAATATACGTTTATTTAATTCAAATATATTTTATTTGGTTCAAATAAATCATTTCTCTGGGTGTAAATATAGAAATTTTTCGTTTGGCACAACTGTTGTACCAACATTTTTTCAGTGCATTGATAAATTATTATAAATATTATGAAAATTATTAAAAATATTGGGTTCCAAAATATTTAATAAAAATTACTATATTGAATTTTACTGAAAAACTTTTTTTTACATCTTATAATACAGCAACTTTTGTTGTGTTGCTATACTAAAAAAAATTTATTTGCTTCAAATAATCAGTTAGTTGACTCACAGAAAATTAAAAGGCACTAAAATAAGCTGCAACGCTTATTATTTTAATCCAATTTTGCTTATTTTAATACCAAAATGGATTAAAATAAGCAAAATTGGATTAAATTAATAAGCGTTGCAGCTTATAATTTTCTGTGCTATTATTAAAATATTTACTTAAGCCAAATAATTTTTAATTGAATTAAATAAACTGTATTTGTATACCAACAATTTCTGTATTTTGAAACAAAATATTACGGAAAAAAAATCATCACCTAGAACAGAGATATAAGTTTCACTGGCCAGAGCGATATGTTTCACTAAAACAACGAAAGTTTTCACTATTCCAGAGAAATATATTGCTGTTTTAGAATAAAGATTTTTTTCCATATTTGAATTGAATAATAATTATTTAATTCAAAAAAAAAACTTTTGTTTAAAGAAGAAAATTTAAAAAAAAATTTCGATAATTGTTTTTTTTTTTTTTTTTGTTGTAAAAATCGACTTTTCCGCGTTGCAAATTCGTCAAAAGAATTTGTATTGTGACTTGTGTTTTTATTTGAGAAAAATATATTTATGTCAAAATATTTTTCAGAGTGACGTGTGCAATAATCTTGGCCTCTTTGGAGTTTAGCAAAGATAGAGAAGAAGGGTATATATATATATATAGGATATGTGTCCTGGGTAAAATGCAGCGTGAAGCATCGAAAACCCTGGCGTGGGATGATACTCGAAACTGTTTAGCTCGTTTAGCCATAAATCATGACTGCGTGTTGCAGGGTCAGCTGCTCGCTCAATGCTAGAGGGCCGCTTTGCATTCTTGTTTTCACGAGTCAATATGAAGTTCCAACTTCGATGGCTGACCATAACCCTGATGAACGTAATCTTGAACCATGTAATTCTGATGCTGTTGTTGTTGATGATGATGATGATGATGATGATGAGCATGATGATGATGTTGATAATGATAATTTAAATAAGCATTGTGAAGTGGAATCCGTTGCATTAAATTCACATCGTTTTGTGTAGCAATTTCATTGTTCTGCAATGATTTATTTTGATGTAATGAATGCTGAGAAGTTACACTTTGATGTAAAGATGTTTGATGACGATTTTGTTGTAGCGTTTCTTCGCTTGGATGCTGCAGTGAAGAAACAGTATTCTGATGTAAGGATGTTTGATGTACCATTGTTCCATTTTGATGCATCATTGTTCCATTTTGTTGCAAAATTGTTTCATTTTGATGTAACAATGTTCGATGATTACCAGATGAAGAAGCTGGAGGATGATCTTGCATTGAAATTACTGAATTTTGATGTAAAGCTGGACCAGTTGAATGTAATCCAATTTCATTTTGATGCAATTGTGCATTTGGATGTAGAGAAGTAATTGTTGATGTCATTGATAAGGGATCGGATTGATTTGAAATTATATCATCAGTACCCGATTCAGAGGAGGGACAACCCAATTTTCCATCTTTTTTTGCCTTCATACGACGATTTTGAAACCAAATTTTTATTTGCCTCTCGGATAAACAGAGTGTTTGAGCTATTTCAACTCGTCTTTTTCTTGTTAAATAGCGATTAAAATGAAATTCCTTTTCCAATTCCAATGTTTGATATCGCGTGTAAGTTTGTCTTGTTCGCTTATTACCGGCAATGGTCAATTCTCCTGAAAAGAAAAAAAAAGAAAAAATATATTTAAAACCGTATTTAGACTATTATTTATACTCGCAGTTACAGTTAAATTTTCAAGGTTATGTTTGCCCCCCACTTTTCTGCTAAATAGACCGCCAGGTAAAGCGCATGCGTCATTGTAATTCTCAAGTCGATTGTGTATAACAAAAAGAAATTTTTTAGCCAAGAAACATTATTTACTTATCACAGAAAATTAAAAGGCATTAAAATAAGCTGCAACACGCTTATTATTTTAATCCAATTTTGCTTATTTTAATCCATTTTGGTCCAAAATTGGAGCGTTGCAGCTTATTTTAATGCCTTTTAATTTTCTGTGATATTTCGAAAACTATAGAGAAACAGATAAGAAATGGGAGCAAGTTTACCTGATGAGTTAAGAGGGGGGACAAGAAAAACAAGTTTCAAAACCGAAAAGTAGGGGGGGGGAGAAGAATTACTGAAATCTATTGAAATTTTTGATATCTTTAAATGAAACTGAGCTCAAATGAATTATTCAGTTTAAATATTTTATTAATTCATTTTCTACATCGCATTAATTATCCAAAGAAGATTCTTACATTGTAAGATTGTATTCTCTAATTGTATTAATTTATAATACAAAACGATTTTATTGAAAGAATTCTAAAAAAACCAAATTAGGTAAATCCTGAGATTAAAAGTTCTGAATTTAAGCAATTAAGTAAAAATCAAGTAAGTCGTTCTTTTCCCTAAATTTTAAAATCGATTTACTAAGGTTTTTACTCTGTACGAACCCTAAAAAATCATTAAACATATTAAAACAATTAAAAATTAAGAGGCAATAATAAATTATTTGTAAAATTTGTACTAACCATTTGTTGTACAAGACTTCATCCACTGATACTCCTGTCTTGATTCATCACCGTAATCACTCATCTCAGGACTCATTTTACCATTATCATTATTATTATTCCCATAATTATAACCAGATTCAAATGTTGAATTATCACGATTTTGATGATAATCCTGATATGATGGATAATTTTGATATTGATTTTGTGACACTGTTATCTCACCAATATGACCAGTTTGCGGTGATGTTCTATCGGAACTTGATGTTGGTGTATAGGGTGATGTTTGACAAACAATTTGTGATTTTGATCCACGATCTTTTGATTTTGTATTATAATTTTGTGAAACAGCATCTTTACCATGTCGCAATAATGTTTCAAGTAAACTTGATGTGGGTGGTGAATTTTCCGGTGATGCTCTCATTGTTTGTGATTGTTGTTGATTTTGATAATCTGTTGGATAATAGTAATTATCGTAATTTTTATAATTAAATTGATATGGCCAATATGCACTCTCACTGTTTGTCACCGATGAACTGTAATAAGTTGAACTTGTCATTTTTAACACTATTTTTGGTTATCACAATTTTTTTTTTTTTTTTTTTTTTTTAAATTCACACACTTGAGTACATATGACACAGTTGAACTTGTTGCACACTTAAATAACTAGCAGTGAACTACTTTTTTGATATATATGTTATCATTATTGGGAAATTTAAAAATAGATTTTTAATTTGTTTTTTTTATTTTACTAATTGATAGGAAGACAATTTTTGATGGGAGTGCAAAATCTTGATGATGTCCAGTCGCACGCCAAATCGGTTCTGAATGTGAGTAAGAGCACTTCGGGCAAACACGGAGGACGAAGTACAATGAAATGATTTGTGTCCCCGTGACGATTTTCGAGCTTAGGGTACGTCGACCAGGCGTCAACGACGGGGGTTCGCGCGTGCCAATGGGCCCCCGGTAAACTTTCACCAGTTTATTACGGTAAAAGTGAAGGTGGTAGGGGGTTGTTTCCCTTTGGTACAAGATTGGCAAAGGTTGCCTCTTCGGTACAAACAAACTTTTGAGGCATCCAATGGTACAGAGAGAGAGAGAGAGAGAGAAGTAAAAAAAAAGAGAGAAGAAGAAAAAAAAGAGAGAATAGAAGTAGACATTGTATTAGTTAAGGCAAAGGCAGGGTGACTCTATCAGCTGCCCTTTGATACAGAAAAGCCACCCCCGATTTTTCTGATGGGGGGGGGGGTGCAATCGGTACAATCTGTATATCACAGTGGTGTACTAAACCCCTCCCACTATTAAATCTATTGACATAAAACCCATATTGAATCTCCCACCTCACCCTAACTTATAATACAAAGAATTTTTCGCCATGTGTGCTTCACCCCGATTCTTTCTCTCTCTCTCTCTCTCTTTCATTGCTCTGATTCGTCCCACTAATCTGATACTACATCTTGAATATGGTGGAACAAGAATTTTTTTTTGAGACAGAAGAGATTATTAATTGATATGCAAAAAAAAAATGGGGTAATTTGGAATAAGACATTTTTTTGCAGATAATCCTTTCATTTTGTATATAAGGATTTTTTCTACTAGTATATAATGTAGACAATTTAAAGAAACTAGGTGAGGCAAGTAAACAAAGTGCGTATACCTTAAGCAGATGGAGGCAAGTCTTTGCGAGTGATGTCTTTCTCTGCAAAACCTACTGGGGGACGATTAATCAACCCTATATAAGAAGACTCCTTTTCACATGTACTTTATACGAACTATTTCCTCTCTTTCTCTCTCTTTTCTCTTATTCTTATTTTATTAACTACTTTTTGTTTTAAAACAAAAAATTCTCGAATTTTATTTTCTAATTTCGACGGAGAATTTATAAAATTGTTTATATTTAATTATCAGATTTTTAGCGGATTGTTCATTGTTAAAATTCTGAAAATCTGCTAAATTTTTGAATATTTTATTTATGGGTATACAAATTGATCAATTAGGAAAAACAAAGTATATATTTAACAAATCAGATGAATATCATAATGTCTGGTATAATGTTTTAAAAATAATTATCGTTAATAAAGAGAGACACACACAGATAATAGGCATCATCGTATGGACAAAAACTATAAATAGTGAATGATCAGTTGTGGAAAAAAAAAGTGATTAATGATTGTAAGTGCGGTGTCCGAGTCGGGACTGCGTGGCACCACACATTTCACATGCGTGCCGATCACTGAATAAAGTTATACATTTTACACAACCAAACATATAAGTGAAACACATACATAGATTTATTTACATGCATATACGTAAAATACAAACATTTTATCCTTACATATATATATAGCTATATGTATGTGTTACTGTTACCGATAATAAATAATGTTCAAGGAGGGAGAATTTGGGGAATGAAATTTTATGGGGAGCCATATATGAAGGGCACATCAGAGAACTATAAATGATCCCAACGACTGACTTAATTCCATCGGTCAGATAATCATTGCATATAGACCTTCCTCACCAGTATGCGAAAATTATATTTTTCTCAAGCACACATCATCGCCTTTTATTTTTTTGGGATGTAGAGAGAAAAAAATTTATAAATTGATTTTTCCATAATTCGAATCGCTTTTTTATACTATATAGGAAAATTATAACACTCCTCAGTATTTGGTTGTTACACACTGCGCAAGCGTAAAATACGCATCTACTGCGCAGAAATCCTGCGCGGACGTTAAAAAAAAAAAATTACCAAACTATGTATATCCCATCAGAAAATTAATAAAAAATTTTATTATTTTAAACTTTTAATCCTCTTCTTCTTTTTGGTAATAAATAAATCACATTTTTTCCCCAAGATTATTTTTTTATGAGTATATTTTTTTTTGGGGAAAAAAAAAGTAAATAATATTTAAAAATATAAAAAGAAAAATAATTTTCCTCATAAAGAAATATATATATATATATATATATATACTTTTCGTGTCACTTTTACAATAATTATTGTTTGACAATATTCGTTCTCCATAAAATCGGAAAAAAAGGAAAAAAAAATTTTTTTTTTCAAATTTTCCACCAAACAATGAAAAACAAATTTTTTTTTTTTTTCCCTACCTGAAAAATTTTTCAGGGAGAAATATTGCTTAATATTACCACTCTCTTGAGAAATATTTTCCTTTTTTTTTTTTTTCTTCTTCTTCTTCGAGAAGGGGACACGCGCTTAGCCACGCGCACGCTCGCACGCCGTTGTCAATTCGCTATGGATTTTAACAACAAAACAGGAATTTTTATTTTACCTCACTATCGGTAAACAGAATCATTGGAGGGACCGTTGTGCAATTTGGTTCAGGTAAAAATTTTTCAAGGGATGGTGCGCACGTTGCAAAAATTTTTCTTCTATAACGAAAAGAGTAGTTATTTGCTTCTGGGATAGAGAAAGAGAGAGAGAGAGACTTCTTTTGCCGCCATGGGCACTATATATATATGTGTGTATATATACATCCTGAGAATGGACAATGAGCCATAAAACTTTCTCCTTCTTGGCCAATGTGCCAAGGGTCCTTCTTGGCTTTTATGTCTTATTTTCCACGTTTGTATTTGCGCGTGTATTACAATCGCGTAACACTCTATGCATCACTTTGTCGACTTTTAAGTGAGACCAATCGTCACAAAAACGAAACATCTTTTTCGTGTATATATATATATATATATATAGGGCGGTATTCATAGTCGATAGGGCGGTATTCATAGTCGATACTCATTTCTTAAGCAGCGACTTAAGCTGACACCTAGATTCATAGTCGTGCATTGTGGATTGACTTAAGTCGCAACTTAAGCATTTGCTTAAAGAAGTAAATGCTTTGATTTTGAGATGCATAGTCCCATCTTAAGAATGCCAAGTATTCATAGTCAAATAGGATTTTCTTATTTGACATTACCGGTGAACTTATTTGAACGAATTGAGGTTATGATTTAAAGTCAACGTTTTAGTTGACTTAAGCAATAACTTATTAGTGTATTTATAGTGAAAAAAGTGTTAACAATGGATATAATGCATTATTTAAGAGACATTGAGGATGATATTGATAATGAAGATGGTCCAAACAATATAAGACGTGCAAAACGATACATTCGAGATGCGGAAAATTCTTTTGAAATAGATGAGTGAGAGTTTCAGAGACGTTATCGTTTTCACTCCACGCAGCCTCCTTAGCTTTCAAGGAACAATCGCTTTTGCGATTTTCAATAACATGGGCAAAAATTTTGATAGTTTGCAGGAAAAGTTTTCTTTATCCGTATTGGTGTAATGCTTTTTAGACATTTTATTACTACAAAAAGTTTCATTAATTAGTATTAAAATTTAGTATTATTTATAATAATTTAATTATTTATTGTTTACAAATTTTATATTCCATTATATTTTTATTTTAATATATAATTTAAGGGAGTGAGAGTAGCAGATTTATATTTGGATACATTTATTATTTCTACAAGAAAAAAGAATTTATGTATGAAAGTAGTTATTTTATGTTTATAAACAATTAAAATTTTTTAGCGTACAGCACTTTTTTAAAAACGAGAGTATATAAGATAAGATATAAAAAAAATTACCAGTCTTTTTAATTTGAAAAAGAAAAAATAAATTGTGTTCTACAAATTGTACGCCTAATTTTAAAAATATTAATGTTAATATATTGATCATTATTTTGAATATTTCACTATTATGTATCATTATTTATCAAATTTTAAATATATTTCATTCTATATATATATATAGCTTCTACACATATTTTTCGTTTATTTCCATTAGTGGAACGAAAGGATTTGACCGAGTTTTTCAAAAATTAAAAAAAAAAACATGTGTGTGACCTTGGGGAAAATATTTACAGATTTGAAAATTTTTTTTTTCACACCGAAAAATTTTTTTTATCTTGATTTGTTTGAGATAATTTTCATGGATAAATTTATAACGAATGGTTTGATAATTGCCGCAGTAACTGGCTAGAAAATACAAAATATACGAGTTTAGGTAGTTACTAGCCTAGCGCAATCTAGTCAGACTTGACAAATGTTACACGAAAAGAAAAAGTGTCGAAATATGTATATATTTTACGTTTTTATACAGTTACTATTTTTTGTAAAGCCACTGTGTAGTTGAACTAGATTAAAACTAGCTAGAAACTAGCTGGGCTTGATTAATGTTACACAGAAAGAAAAAGTGTCGAAATACATACAGTTAGAGAGATTATACTATTTTCTAAATATTCATTGTAAAGTTAAACTATATCATAACTAGCTAAAAACTAGCTTGAAACTATCTAGACTTGATAAATGTTACACGGAAAGAAAAAGTTGCGAAATGTATATATTTCACGTTTCCATAGAGTTACGGTACCCTTTATATTATTTTCTATAAAGCTACTGTACACTTAAACTAGGTAGAAACTAGGTAGAAACTAACTAGAAACTAGCTGGGCTTGATTAATGTTACTCGAAAAGAAAAAGTATCGAAATACACAGTTAGGGTAATTATACTATTTTCTAAATATTCATTGTATAGTTAAACTATATTAAAACTAGCTGGAAACTAGCTAGAAACAAGCTAGAAACTAGCTAAACTTGATACATGTTATACAGAAACGAAAAGTGTGAAAATATATAAATCTCACGTTTCTATGCAATTAAGGTACAATTAGACTATTTTCTATATAATTACTGTATAGTTGAACTATACTGCAACTAGATAGAAAAATAACACTACGATCATCAAGTTTGTAGATATTTAAACCATAAAAAAACTAAACAGTGCAATCTAGGTTACTTAGAAAGTTCAGGACAATTATATTATCTAGTTTCTAGATATGTAAACTTTATAGAAACTATTTAGTTTATCTAGATTATTCAAAAGAATCAAAACAGTTATACTATTTAGTTTTAAAAT